AATTTTTAACAAGTGTTGTCAAGAAATTTTTTTTAAATTTTTATTTTAAAAATTATTAATTTTTTTATAAAAATTATATTTATTTTTAGTTTGATTGTTTAAAAATTTTTTTGGTTTATTGCATATCTAAAAACAATAAAAAAAACACTTGCAAAATGTTTTGGAATTAGTCTCAGGAAACTTTTTGTTTAAATAATTTTACCCACAAAAAAGCAAAATAAAATATCATTTAATTTTCAAAAATAAAATCAAAGTGAAAAAATTTTTATAAACAAAATATTTAAACAAAAAGATTCATCAGGTTCACTTTAGAACTTTTTGTAAACTAGTATTAATCAAAAATAAAATCTATTTGAGCCAATACTGGCTCAATATCGGCTCAGTACTGGTTTGTCAGTACTGGGAGGGTGGTACTGCACCAGTACTGATATAATGAAAATACCAGTACTGGTTCAGTACAGACTGCCCAGCCTCGGCAGCCAATACTGAACCGGTATTGCGCCAGTAGTTAACTCTGGTATAATACTGAAATTTTTGGTTGGGTAATTATCACCGAATCTAAAAAGTTTCCAGAGGGAAACAAGTCGCCAGAAAATTATTAACTTTTCTGTGGTCACTAAATGTCAGAATAATATTTACCAAGAAATTATGCCGAGTGGTTAGGTTTCGCAACAGAAAAAAAATTATTAGTCAAAATAATCAATTCAATGTGTAGCTTGTAAATAATTTTTGAACTCGAGGCATTTAATTAGTTCAAACTAAATACATTTAACATTTAATAATTTGACCTAAATTTTGCAAACACTGTGAAATTTTCGCTGTTGTTTAATGTTGGAAATTGAATTATACATGATAATTATTTTTAATGAATTTATTCCAACTTTTAAAAAAATATTAACTTCAACTGATTTTCAGTGAAAATTTCACAGAATGATTCAGTAATCGACTTCTAGATATTTCACCAGAGAAATTTCACTGACTCAAATTGAGAAAGCATGGATTTTATTTTTTTCGATTTATTTTTTAATCGATAGTCTCTCTCATCCTCATTTTGTTGTTGTTTCCTCATGTTTCAGAATAAGAGATTTTAATTAAATTGCTTGTGTAATCTACGAAAGAAACCCTTTGACACAAAATAGAAAAGACAATAAGAGGTATACCTATCTAGTATCGTTTGAGAGATACGCTTACCTTTTAAGCTTTTCAAACCAATTATTTAGTAACAAGAGAATGCTATCAAAAGAGTATCTTTATGAAATTTAGGATATTTAATACGTTTTATTTTTTCGTCATTTCATTTTAATTAATACACACATAGAAGATGTTTGCACTGTAACGTTTGTAATTGATAGAATCAATATTTAGCTCGCCGAGCCAGGGTTCGTTTTGATTCCAACCCAAAAAATAATAACAATAACAGGGTTAATTACAAACTGATAACAAATTATTTATTTACAACGGTATTTACAATATCAAAGTTATACGGAGATTACAAGTGTGTCGCGGAAGTCGGTTTCGAACAACGATTGTCGGCGTCTTTACAAATTATGTTGAGCAAAGATTTTGCAAGCTTAGCTCGTTAATATAGAGACAGCAAATAAGTTTGCTGTGGGGTTTAATTTCGTGATTTTAATATTTTTTTTGTACATCTCAGTTAACTTTTTTCATTCCTCTCCGTGTACTTTCTCTAATTTATTGAACTCAATTAAATGTTTATATTTATTTCTTTTGGACACTCTAATGAAATATTCGATAATAGTTATGAAATACGTAAATATTAGGTCATTTGTTTAGAATCAAGCGATCAAGTTTGTTTGGAAATTTTGTTTTAAGTTAAGGAGTACAGTTAGTACACAATTCGATAAACTACTCTTGGTTTATGCAATGGACAAAGTTGAATAGACAATACCAGGATATATGTATTATGTGTATAGATTCTCTCAGTTTAAAATTAAATGCAAAGTAGAGTATTTACCAGGAGTGGAAAAGTACGAAATTTATTTCGATATGCGTGACAGGTAATAAAATATCCAAAGATCAGTGCTCGACATTTATCTTGTTAATTAATTTTTCAACATAATAATATAATCATATTTTATTCTGTTATCTGAAAAATTCACTAAAATTACATTTGTGTAGAAAAAACCACGTTAATAAATTGTCTTGATAAAAAACTTGTTTTTCTAATTAGATAATTTTATTTAATTTTAAAGTAATAGTGCACCTTTGCTTCACACACATGTATATTAGATTTAATACTTTTTAACAGAGTGTAATAAATTTTATAAGCTTCAAGTAACTTATACTAATTAAGCGGTAATATAACATATGGATAAGTTGGTTTAACTGCAGTTCACTTGTAAGGTTGTAAGAAAGAAAATTTATTTAAAATAATTACCAGACTGTTTTATTTTTTAAACATGTGCGAGGCAAGTATTGCAGAATATATTTGACAGTTGGGAGAAACTGTGGAAAACGCAAAAGGGCTCAGAAACGTGGTTGACTTGGAAGTACGCTAATTGTGTAGCACTTGCTGTCTTCTCCATCTCTGGACCAGTTCCACATCAAGCCAGCTGAACCGCACAGAGCCGCATATGTATACCGAACTTGTCTACTCAGCATTGCAAATAGTACCCAGACAAGCTAGCGAAACTCACCGGATATCATTGGTTGTTAATTCAACACCAATCGCTTCGAAAATTGGACCGCTCGTAAAATAGGTTAGGCGTGACTTTCCGGAAAATGTGTCCAAGAGAACCTCTCTTGCTTCTGAATATAGAGATGACTCTATAATTTATCACATGTATGCTTCCAAATGCAAATCTGCCATCCATATTCATCAATATATCGTGTTCGATTTCACATGAAATAATGACCATTGAAACTTTTATTAAATTACGTCAAGTAGGGTGAACATAACCTCAAACTTATAATTAAGGTTAGATTAAATTAGATTATTTAAAGTTCAATATTCAGAATATCAAGCTCTATTTTATGAACGCAATTTAATACCAAATACATGGGACCGCCATCAGTCAATAGCTAGTTGATCAATGATTAAATTTGAAAAGTTTATATGATCGAAAAACACAATGTGCTTGGCTCTGTTTGGTGACGCAATACGGACAATTAAAAATTTTGTTTGTTTGTATTTATTTACATTGTGATGATAAAAGAAAAAAGTTCTTTTAAATAAATGAAAAACTCTTTTTAACTTTAACAATGGAATAACGTTCAATATAAACCTTGGAGTGACAAATCATTTTTTAATTTTCAAATATAAATGTGTAAATTTTATAAATGTATAGGTATATAGTTTAATCATTTTTATTCGGAAATGTAAAAATGATGAATTTGCAATTCAAAGTAAGCAATGACTAATAAATCATAAATTTTCCTGACATTTCGAAACATATTTTGTATAGTACTACATTATAAAATGTCTACTTACAGACTTTTCAAATAGAAGAAAACGACGGAATATTTGTTTCTGGTAATATTCAAGTGGAAGAAAATCGTATTTTCCGTTTTGGTGAAACGACGTGACGCATCGAACAAAATCTTGTTGTAAAACGTTTGCAAATGTCTCGTTGAAATAACTTGGAGTGTCGAATCCCTGGGAAAATTCGAGTTTAACTGAACAGTTGCAGGATTGCTTTTCAAATCCTGTCCTATTGTTTTATTTCAAGGTTTATTTTCTCAGTGAAACCGGAGACTCTCACTAACCAGGAGGACGTGTCCAAGTTGAATTGAATCAGATAAACGTATCAAATATCATACCTTGAATATTTAATCCAGGATACTTTTACATAAACAATCGTACAAAATAATATTTCAATATTGTACTGCAAAAACATTTACTCTATAATATCTGAATTTACAAGAAAATAAGAATCTTCATTATTTTTATTCATCATTTTTTCCTTCACACAGACTATATTTTTTTTTACTTTTATTACATATATTTCAGTTAATAAATAAATAAATAAATAAGCTGTTAATCGATTATCTACAGTTTTTAAACAGCAGAGTTTCAAGAATTCTATTCCATTTTTAAGGTACATATTCTACAAGAATAGAATATAGTTTATGGATTGCAGGGAATGATGCTATAAATAAATAAAAGAAAAAATTACTTTATTCATTATTCTTTTAAAAATTTACCTTAGAGAAGATTTTAAATTCATAATCAATATTCTGTCAAGAAACTAAAAGAGACGTAAGAAAGAGAGAAAACAAGAGAACACCGGAAGGGAGATGATGCTTGTGCGGAAATTACGCTTTCTACAGAGGTAGCACTTCCTGTTGAACAATATTCTTCTTGTATCTATAAAGTACAAAAGTAGCCTTTTTTACCAAAAGGACAGTTGATGCGGATGCTATCTTGAATTTTTTTTTAACGAAATGGTTGCCGAAATGAGGATTGGAATTTTTTTAATATTTCTGTTGAATTTATTTTTCAAGTATCATCTTAAACGAATTTAACGAAAAAGTCATTACCTACATATTACTTAATGCTTTCCTTATGGTATCAGTCGCATTCACCCACTCTATTCTTTTTTCTCTACCCATATAGCATGCAAGTCTGCTGCCAACTTGCAGCCGACATGCATTGCAAGTTTGCTGCAAGCTTGCAGCTAGCTTGCTGTAAGTCTTCTGCAAGTTTGCAAAGGGTGGGACATTGCAAGCTAGCGTGCTATCTGGGTATGTTATTTTAAACTGCGAGTTACGATAGTTTTAAACGCGTATCAACCTTCGAATTGAATTTTCTCTTAAAATTTTAATTAGGTCCGAAATCAGCACATGTGATGTTGTATCTCTTATTTTCTACTCTTAATAATGGAAGATTTTAATTAAAAACTAATTGTTTTTAACCATACTTTTACATATATGAATTAATATACAATACAGTAGAATTTCTTTAACAAAGGAATTAAAATATTCCTAAAATTATTGCATATAGATATATAAATTTAACTATTCTTTTTATAATTTTGCAGCTGGTGGGAGGCGAGTTCGACATCGAATTAAACTTCGTAATTCCAGATCCACAGAATATCAGACATATGCTGGAATTGTTAGATCATTGCACGCCAAATCTACAGGTAAAGTTCGCCACAGTATTAATCAATTTTACTAATTAGCGTCGTTCGTCGATTGAGTAATTCCAACTACTCTGGCAAACCTCCCAATAATTTCGATTATTGAGTGTGACAGAACATTGGTAATCTACAGTAATTATTACAAGTCTCTGAACACTGACAATAAATGAATTTTTTAACAGTTAATTAATTAGATTACCTACTTACATTTTCATCAGAACACAACTGTAATGCAGAGAGAATACGATTGACAATCAGTGAAAATGGAAAAATCATATATAAAAATACATTGAAATCTATTAATAATTTTTAGAGAAAAGTAAATATTCTTATAGATTTACAAGTTAATATTAAACAATTGGTTTATTATGAAAAGTTACGCTGTAAAATTTATTTGCAAAGAATTGGATTTTAAAACCCTTTCTGATAATAAAAGCAAACTTGACTGGTATATGAAGTTTGGAGTCGGTAAGCCACGCTGGATCGCCTTGATCCTTCTATAATCGTAAAACTTTTGGGTTCTGAAACCTCGCGAGGCTAAATTGCTGTCTCTAATGGAAGCTCAAAAAGAGCCGAAGACCAAAACCACTCTTCCATTATCGAAACCGAAACTCCACCACCGACTAATTTTTTTTTTTTTCATTTACCATCCTCCTCTAAATGAAGTATCTTTTTATTACTTTTATCATTCACCAAATTTAAGGTCCAAAATAATATGTACCTTTTTTGTTGCCATGCAAATAAATGAACAACCTTACTTAAATTTTCTTTCATTTTAGAGACACCGAAAACTTGTATCTTTGTGGCTTTCTCTCGGTCGAAAAGTTATTTCAGCTGCAAATAGAAATTTTACCTGCACCTTCCAAGTGAAACACAATGAAATGAATAAAAAGTCACGTTTCTATTCAGTTGATTACAACTTTTTTCCTCTTTAGCGACTCCCAGGAGAAAAATAAAGTTTAAGTAATCTATTTCAATTAGAAATTTTAATTTTAAATTTCATTGCTTTATATGAGAAAATGAATTTAGATTTAATTCTTCTTTAATATTAATCGTATGTCCTGAAAATATCGACAAATACGACCAAAAAAATGAAACGATTTTTATATCGTTGTAGAAGAAAGTGAATTGAATTTGTAGTGATTTCCACTCATCTTGAAAGTATATAACTAATTTGTGCACACGTGTATCATATTCATCATGCTTGCCCGGATCTAATATTATCAACTGACAAGCGTTTCAAATTCGGATTAAGCAAACAACCGAGAATATCATTGACGCCAGACTCAATTTCACCTCTTGAGAACCAGAAAGCGATTTTCAGCAACATACTCATGTGAGAATGATGCAAACGGAAATCCGTTCTGAGTATATATCTACAATATCAATTGTATGTTCCTCTGAAATGTTAATTCCGTTAAGGTGTTTTCCACCTCGTGGTCCAACAATATCCTACCTCAAATCATGAACATGTATATCTTGACAGTATACATATATGTTGTGCATATATAAGTTAGAATCTAAATGTATTTCACTGACCATAATATATACCTACATATATACCTACCCTATATATGTGGGGAGAGGAATTTTCGAAACGCGTATACCTGATAATTGAATTGACGCTTTTCATTCAACGCTTTTTTCATAAATCAATTTTACATTACTTCAAAGCTCTTTCAAGAAAAATCCTATTACTCGTACAGCGTTTATTTAATCAGCAACATATAGCTAAGCTAAAAAATTTTAAAGAAGCAATTAATAGAATATTTATTTTTTAAACTGCAAAAAATCAAAAACAAATCAAATATAAGTAGTTGCGACCATTTATTTCTTGTTATCTACTAGCATGTAGATTACTATTTCATATGTCAATAAAATTTGTCAATACTGGCGAATTATTTCTTTCTGTATACAGACATAATCATTTTTATTGACATGAGTCTTGAACTTTTATGTTCTTCTTCGCCATCATGGCAGTTTTTTAGTAATAACACCTAAATTCCATTAATGAAATTTCATCGCAGCGAAGTAAAATCATTTCATGATTCATGTCATGCTTTTATAGATGAAGCTCGCAAATACACGACATACAACTTTGATAACATAATAAATATATAACCAATTGCTCGAGTCGACGCGCATGTGAATAACGACTTTACATATATATTTCATTTTTGACGTTTATAGCTCCATGTATATTTATGCAGAAGCACCGAAACTTGAGAATTTAATTGTTTGCATATTATTACTACGTGCGAGCTATTTTATTTGTTCCTAAATTGCAATTATTATAAGTAAATAAGAAATTTACCAATAATTGGAATTGTATTAGGTTCAAATACACGCACTTCTCATATTACCGCAACTTTATTGCGAATAATTTTATTTTATTTATACAAATTTAAATTTCTCTTTTTATTATCTCACTAGTAGAGTATTCTTTGCATGATTTCAGTATTGGAAAAAATATCTATTTTTTAAATTAAAAATTCACCACTTTATATATATATATTACAATTTTTTTTTAGTCGTTAAAAAAAAATTCATATTTAAAAAAAGGAAAAAAAGTGATATGTACAAATGGTTCTTTTTTATCTGAAATGTGAAGTTGAATATTTGTACTTCGAAATCATTTGTTTCGTATTTTTTGCAAAATTATTTGTGACTTTTGTATGTTATAAAAAATCAATTATTGAAAAAATAGGTTGAGGTACACTGCAATAGATTTTCAAATTTTCACCTCTTTAGCTGAGAAAAAAGCTAGTTTTCATGCTACAGAATTTTTATTCAATTTGCTCTCTCCTAGTCGTCACTGAAAACGTATATCTACTTTTTTTTATCAATAACCCATTCTTTCTCTTGAATCATAAAATTCGTCAGTCCCGTGTAGAAATTTCCCTACCAGGACCATGGTTTGTACAATGCAGCGCATAAGCATAAACATTTCATTAATTAATTAATAACCATAAAACTTTTTGAATTGAAAACTTGAACTTTTTCTACATAACTAAAAAATTTGATCAATTTTTGTTTTCCACTTTTCATAATTAAAGTGTAAAAGCCCGAGTAATTTATTGAGCTATATGATACATAATCCGTACGAGATAGAATGACAATGTACTGGCAATATAATTGTTCATTAACTCCGTTAGAAATAATAGTAAGCTGCTCAAATTTTAGTTTCTAATTGTAGTGTTGTTTTGATCATCAAGCAACATGAAAAGAAAATTGACAACCACATCATGTTGCAGAAAATGTATTTTTGTTCCCTGTTTCCCGTGATGCGCTATTGTCTTTCTATTTTATATTTAAAACCTGTTGCTTATCTAAACATTGACTCTCAACAAAAATGTGGCGTATCCAAATTACTTTAAATGTATTCGTGATTAAATATAATAATAATAATGATATTTTAACTAGTTAAAGTCATCTGATGTTGGACTTTGAATGTTAAACGCGGCAGCAGTAAAGGCATGACAGTAGCAAGCAAGTTCGAACGGAGGCTATTAGTCTAGCTCGTGGGGTGCATACTAATGCGTGACCCGGGCAAGACCAATGGGTCAGCTGACGCGCAAAAAAAAGATAAAAATGATGCACAACTAGAGGAAAAAGAGGTAAAGGAATAAAAATAGTGAATCCGCGATTAAGCTCGGCCAGTGCTCTATAACAGAACCAGAAAACGAAATGCGAGGAAATGAGTCTGTGGAGCTGCGAACCGTGAAGTGCAAATATTTACGCAAACGCAAACGCGCTAAAATTGCGTCCGGGTGGACAGAAACGGTCCTGCCAGATACTTCTCACTGAAGCGGACTTCCCGCGAGGAACAAATTACAATCATATTCAGAATACTTCCAACTGTATCACAGTGACAAAACTCACTATTGACACAATATTAGCAAACTCTTTAATTTAAAATTACATAAGAGCAAGTGACAAATATTTAACTGTTGAAGCGCTTCTTTTATTATTTCAATTTAGTGCTCGATTGCGATTTTATTTTTTATTATTAACGATAATTTAATTTGTCTTTTGAATGTGATGAAATAGTACTGATAAAAATGAACACGTCACACTTGTCGCTTATTAATCGTTTCTTAACATTTATAAATTCCGTCCCTTATTTCTCCGACATTCTCATCACCGGCGAGTGGTATGGGAGCAGTTTCATTTCTCGGTTAGCAATCCCCATTTTCTGCAAGTGCTCGCGCCACGACAATCAAGAGGTTTTGCATTCGTGTGAACTTGTACTTACGGGGACGTAGTGCCGAATATTAAACCTGGTTGGTCAAAAGTTAAGCGGAGCAATTATGCTGACGCCCGTTCTGTAGTTGTCGTATAGCAACCAACACTGGCGGCATAAAAGATTTCATCCAGACAAATGCAACAAAAATGTTTTGTCGAAAAATTTCTTTGCAATAAATGATTATTTTTGTCAAGGATTTCATTTCTCGTGCCACATCATCTTGTTGAATTATTTTTCACTCTAGACTTATGGTTATCGAGATAGAATGTGGAAAAGAGGTAGGTGATAAAACGATCGCATAAACGACCACAGATTTGACGCAGTTACGCTGCTGCGTGAGTAGCATATATTGATTTATCACCATCCTGCTGCCGCCTCTATACCATTCTAGTACCTATTTCTCCTTCAGTCTGTTCCCTATCCTAGAACCAGAGAATTTCGTCCTCGCACGATTTTCGCCTTCGATGTTCCGCCCCATTCGATCAACCGTTTTCCATTGCATTGCCAAGTTTCGTATCGACAACGCAACACAGAATGTACTTTAAACTGATTCTGTTTAATAGCAAGCAGTTTCGAATTAGAATTCCAAATTCCACGCAAACTGTTGTTTGCTTTAGTAAAAAAAGAAATATAAATATAATCTAAAAACGTTTATTTCATATAATTTTAGTGACATTCATTAACAAAAAGATTGAATACGAAATGATCTACTGAAATGTGTTAAGACAGCTGAGATGCACAGTAGTAATAATGGATA